TTAGTGATAAAATTTAAGGTGGACAGAGATTGGACCTATTTTGAGGGAGGGAGAAGATGAGCCACTATGGTCAACACACAGAGTACGCAATCGAACTCTGCGTACATACCGTTTCAAGCATTCTGGCCTGATAAGAAATGACAACAAGAACGCCACTGCTGCCGGTTCGCTGCCATATCCTTCAATGTCTCCAACCAACCATTTGTGGAGTCTTTCGGACCCCAACCTGGAAGGCGAGAGACACCTACTCTACCTAATGGCTCTGTGTATTTCTTCATGTCTCGTCTCCAAGTCATCTGCTGACCTCCACTTGGTTTCCTCCAGCCCGGAGCAGCTACAACGAATAAAGTGCGGTGTGGCAGACGATGGCTGGGCATACGCAATACGTGCCGTACTAATCTGAATTCGACGTGCTTACAGGTTTATCGGTGATAGCCTCCCAAACAGACGGCGTTGGACACATGCATCCGTTTTTTTACTATTTCAGAACAAGAATAGTATTGCTCTTCACCTTACCTACGGATATTAAAGAAATTTGTGTGTACTTATCGTAGATGGCATATGCTGTCTAAACTTTCCATAAATATTATTCTTTTACTTTGATCAAATCATTCGTGCGAGGGGACTCTTTAAGAGGATAACCGTAATGTAATGTCAAGCTTAAACGATATGAAAATGAGATGAGAACTGAAGAAAGTCCATGAAGATCAAACCCAAAAACTAGGGTTGTTTTGCACGTTACCACTGGACGATTCGGGCTGCAATCGTTGACGACGCTATACGATACAGCGCATACACCTATTAAGAACAGATATCTATCTCCATTTCTTCAAGAAAGGGAACCAAAATAACTTCGTGCTTGATGAGAAGATATAACGACAGTGATGTTTCAAACATACAAACATACAAGTGCGCATACCTCTAAAGTGCATAACCACAAGAAAAATTACAAGTATCAATTGCAGGAGCACGAGCATCTACAATCGCTCAAATCGCCGCTTTAAAACTATTAAGCACCGAGCGTAATGATAATGAGTTAGCGCACAACAAAAATAACTGCTACATGGATTCGATCAACAGAGACTCACTGAGAGCACACGTGAGAAAATCAGAATCCGTTCAATCACCTGTAGACAATTTTAGCATCGTCACGCGTCAGTTTGCATAAAGACATCATCTGTGCGGACACCAGTGAACTGGACTTGGCAGGCAGTTGGAGTAATCTTAACAGGTCACAGGGTCTGGGGATGGTTGTAAGTGTGGAAACCGCTATTCTTAGGTCAGAAGGAGGCAGTTTGGGAAGTGTCAGTTCACCCGAGTCAGTGATCGCTGATTCTCCTCCCAAAAGTCGATCCTCTTGAAGACAAACTGTAAGGCCATCGGTTGTGTTGGAAAGAAAATCCATTAGAATAGTCACCTAGTTGGGAAAAGCAAGAAATGCATCGAACCCCAGGTAAGTGAAAAAGTGGATTTCGATAGTTTGCAAACCTGTATCGTTTTGAAAAGGTATGAGGAACGAGTAAAAGTATATACATATGATGTGGTATAACTGTAATGCTTTTTCCGAAAATAGACAGATTCGAGAACAACTGGTGTAAGAAAAGACAACAGACAGATCTGAGGTAGAAAAATTTAAAGGTGTTTATCAGTTTGCACA